ATCTCAACGTTGCTGCCATTTCCATTCATATTCTGCTTTTGGTATAATGTAAAGCATGAAGTTCATATTTTGGGAGCGTTTCAGCTAGTATAACAGTGTAATTAAGTCCTGATGTCACTGCTGGTGGTTGCCATGTTGTGTGTCAGTCTGATGATTCACTGCATGTGTCGGTGTGTTTGATGTGGTGCCCGAGTGTCGTGTTTGCTAACATGCTGCCCTCATCATGTTATTTCTTCTGTGGTTACTCAATGACAGTTTCACTTCTTTTTTTTCACTCCTCGCTTATGTGTGTGGTTTGTTTGAAATTTTGACTCTTTCTTCACTGTATTTACACACTAGTTTCACCCCATTTGCTTTCTTCACATATCTTAAGACTGCTTGAAAATCCATATTGAATTAGTTTTTTTTTGTACCTTTCAATTTGAAATTATGCTATGCTAAGCTACGCTTATTAGCTTTTTTTTCATTAAGAAGAAAAAAAGATAGATTAAATGTTATATAACAATTTAAAAGATATTTCCTTTATCTTGTTAGTAAGGGTGAATTTCGATTTTGGACACCATTGAGTGGCTGGTGATGTCATTGCCCATGTGTAATATTTTAATAAAATAAACAGCACAAATAAATCACAAACGTGTGTGTGTGTGTGTGTGTGTGTGTGTGTGTGTGTGTGTGTGTGTGTCAGGTGTGTCTCTCAGTGTGTTGCCCATGTATCTGGGTGAGATCTCTCCTCGGCAGGTGCGTGGGTCCATCGGTCAGTTTCACGCCATCTTCATCTGTCTGGGTGTCTTCATCGGTCAGGTGTTGGGGCTGCCGGAGATATTCGGACAGGTGAGAACACATCAGCACTGCATTCATGTCATCATACTGTAAACATTACAGAATAACCAGCTGCTGAAGGGAATATAGTGTGTCATGTACATCTGAGTGTTCAGACCCAGGTCCAGAGGTGTTAGTAGTTCTGTTTCTGAGATATCCAGGTACTGATTTAAAGCAGGAGTGTGCTGTGATGTGCTGGGGGGCTTAATCTGATGTGTGTGTGTGTGTGTGTTTTATGTCGTGTGTGATATCAGAGATCAGTACAGGTCATGATCTGATGCAGGTGTGTGTGTGTGTGCATGATGCTCCAGCCGTCTGACAGTGTGTGCTGATCTCAGGTCAGAGCTGAGGACGTCTGTGTCCACCGGCAGAGACATGCTCCACAGCTCCAGCACCTGTGCCTTCACACACACACACACACACACACACACACACACACACACACACACACACACACACACAGACACACAGACGCACACACACTATATATATATATATATATATATATTCCCTATTCTTTAATATCATATAAATCAATAGTCTACAAAATCCATGGAGATTTTAAGGAGCGTTGCTTTCTACAGGAATCAAACAGGTTAAGTGATTTTTAATGTTTCTCCAGTAAATCAGAAATGTCTGATAGAGTTTTTCTCTGCTCATACAGTGGATTAAAGATTTAATTGTGTCATTGAGGTATTTCATTGAAAGGTGTCTCGGCTACTTTACCAAATGATTCACACTAGTGTACTGCAATGTGCCTGGCCTGTCTTGCTAAACGGCTCATCTCTAACACCGCACCATTGTTGTTGTCAAAAGGTTTAATTTACAGACTGACCGAAAGCAAGCCCAGCACGAGCAAGTATGAATGAAAAGTTTGATTCCATCAGCGCCACAGTTTGAGCTCCAGGAGTTCTGTGGCGACACGCTGTTTTAATGTAACTGATTTGAAAGCTTTGTCACAAATAAAATCTTTATCACGTCCTTTATTAACCAAAGATCTCCTGTGGCTGCAGGTTCATCTGTCCTTCTAAACAGCACACAGGGTGTATTGTGTAGTGAAGCTGGGCTTGGACAAACACGTTTAGCAGAACTAATGAACGCATCAGCCTTCAGATAGCTGAAGCAGTCGTATATTTCAGCAGCCTGCACTGAAGCATACACACTTTAACGTGTTGTTTTAGTATAAACATGGTTTTCCAAACACTGCAGCTTTATTTTCTTACACACAGATGTGAAGATGAGACTGACACTAGTTAATCCTCAGTANAGCAACACGCAGACAGCAGCTCATGGATGAAGAGCACAGGGTCATCCTCCACACTGTTTAAGACGTGTCTTCCTGCTCATCTTCAGATCATTCCTCTGGGTTTTGGATGATTTCTCTGAAATCGAGATTGTCGG